AGCCACCAAAAATCATCTCTACAATCACGCCAGCCAAGAAAGAACTGAAGAACAAACAAATTTCTCAAATAACATGCAAAAAATTATAGACCACTTCAATGACTAAGCACAAGGAAATCACAATAGCCTTCTGGAAGTAAAAAAGAAGAGGATGACAGAAGAAAATGGTGAAAAACATTTCGGTACAAGAGGAAGAATGAGAACTGCAGTTGCAAAAATAAGGAAAAATATTTTTGGGAATTTGTAAAAAAAGTTTGAAATAATACGTCTAAGTGAAACGTGTTGGTTAAAATGTAAAGACGTTAACTAGTAAGAGAACAATCTAGGTGACAAATGTAAATGGAACTTTAATTTAAAACCTGGGAGCAAACTATGTGCAATAATGGATGATAAAATATGACAAGAAACTCATGTGAAGGGTATATGGATACGAAAGAAGTGGCTTGGAAAGTGTAAATGGGAAATAGAAAGGGGGGACTATACTTTTGTAGAATGAGAAAAATTAGTAATTGACTGTGGCATATAGTTAATATAGGGGCATGGACAGATATAGAAAAATTTGAATTTATAGACATGAGAAGATCAGACCATTTGCCAATAGGGATTGAATGGAAGGGTGAAGTTTATGAAGATAAAAGTGTTTGCGAGAATAAAATAGTTAAGTGGTCAGAAAATGCCATTAAAAAGGCAGAAAGAGCATGGTAGAAAGGTGAAACAAATTAAAATAATTAAGGTTGGTATGGTAAAAGGAAGAATGAGGGATGGGAGAGATAATGAGAGATGGTGAATCATAGTGTTTGAAGAACTTAATATAAATGGAGTTTGGGAGGAGAAAGAAATAATGTGAAAACGAGGAGTTTAGGGGAAAGAGATGGGAATACAGGAAACATTAAAAAAAAGAAGGAAAACTACAGTGAGGAGATGATAACAAAAATTAAGATTTTTTTAATTGGAATAGAAAAAAAAAGTAATTTGACATAAGTACTAAGTGACGAAGAGTGTTATAATCATCCTAGGGGGTTTTTAGGAGGAAGGAAGATGTTGATTGAAAATGAATATGTGATAAATAAAGGAAGAGAAGAAGAGAGAAAGGTAACATGTATAGAATTAGATGAAGTTATGAAGAGAAGGAGTTCTTTTCAAAAAAGGCATGTGGCAATATGTAACTCCAGAAACATGGATATATTATGAGAAACTTATAGATGTGGAAATGCGGACAATAGTACCAGTTTATAAAAGCGATGGAAGAGAAAATGGTAAAAATTATTATGGGTATGGGAATATTCATAATAGATATAATGTGTAAGATATATACGGGTATAATCAACTATAGGTTGGAAAGAAGGTTGTAGGAAATAATATTTTAAGGGAAAACCAATTTGGTTATAAGAAGGGCAGGGAAACAACAGATCCTGTTTTTTGTTAAAGAAAATAATTTCAAACAAATTTAAATACAATAATCCAGTCAACCAACGGTTTAGGGTCCGAATTCGTTCAAGAAATTCCGATTGACCTCAAATAGTAGGGATAGCACTATATTGCCAATGTACGCCTTTGTCCTAAAGGTGAATAACAACCCTTCTCGACGGTGGAAATTTTTAAATAAAAATAACCCCAGGAATCGATAGAAGGATGAATTTGAAGTAAAAAATGTTGTTCGGTCCTTGTTAATTGTATATAATCATTGTGTATAGTCATTGTATATATTTTTGTAATATTTAGAAGACGTGCTGTAAGTTAAGTTTTATATTTATATTAGTTTACGATAGTTGTTAGTTTGTACAAATTTTTATTATCACTTTGAAAAGATTTATTCATAGGCACGCCTGGGAATCTCTTTGAACTGGACATCAACAAACAGGGATGGTTCGCAAATGTACAATTACCTACTTTCACAAACTTTTGCAATCACCCGCTGTGTCGGCATCTTCTAATTCAAATTCAATATTTTTCAGAACCGAATGGGCGTTACCATCTCTGTTTGTCGAAGGGCGTACCTACCCCTCTATATGTATATATTAATTGTACCAATTCATNTAGGATTTTTACATTTTTTTCTGAAGGGGTATTTTTGACCCTTCTCCCCTCCGACCCGTAACAAAATAGAGAGGGCATATCAGAAATACATAGCTACACTTAAAAAGATATACAAGAGATTTTATTTAATTATAAATGCAATTTAAAATAATATGGAACTATTTTTGCTTGTTTTTTTGGTCATTGGGAGTGGTTTGTGAGGGTTCATCAATTTTATATTTAAATGTAGAGTTTTACTATATTTCTCAAGAGGGGTAGTTTTCCTTCCAGAAAATTAAAAGCGCACATAAGGTTTATATAACTTTTGATAATAAGGTATAATAAGCTTATAAACCAATTTTCAGCCAAATCGGTTTTTCTTGAACTGACTCGGAGGTTTGGGCATTTTTTTTAAGTTGGTTCACTGGACTACAAGAATTTTTATTGTCTTTGTAGGTATGATTAAGTTGGCAGAGGGGAATTGTTATATGTGTATATTAAGGGTGAGTAAAATAGAAGAGAGATTAGTAGGAAGAATAATGGAGTTGTACCTACAGGGAAACATCAGCAGTTGTAAGAATAACAGGTAAGTTGATAAGAAAATTCTACATGAAAAGGACTTTAAACAAAGATATAAATTGAATACACAACTATTTAATATATATATATTTAAGCGATCCCTGGAGAAAGAGATGAGTAAAGTAAGAGAGGCAGAGATAGTGGTAGGAAGAGAGAAAATTTGAACAATGAATTATGCAGATAACATTGCTTTTGAGGGATTTCGAAAAATACTTGAGGCGGAAGGGACTAAAACTGAATACAAGTAAGACGAAATCTACGCAATTTAGGGAAGTAAGAAGTAGAAAGGAAAGAAAAAAGGAATTAATACGATAAAAAGGGTGAAAAAATATAGATATATTTAGGTTACATACTGGGAAAGAATAACAGTGATAAAATGCATACAATCTAAATATAACATATGTAAAGGGTGTTTTAAATTTAGACAAAAATACAGAGGATTATCTTGCTAGGAGAGAAAGAAAATGCGGAAAGTTGAATATGGAAGTTAGAACAAGGTTAGCAAAATACGAGAAGTTAGAACATTTAGGGGAAGGGAATATAAGAAAGGAAAAAAGTGGGTACAACAAAGAAAGAGATGAAGCTGAAGGATCAATTATATAAGAATAGAATGGGAGCGTCAATAGAAGAAATGGTAAAAGTAGTGAAGGCGAAATAGTGAGAGCAAGAGATTATATGGGGCATAATTTGAGAAATATGGATGAAAGGTTGAGATATGTAAAATGTATAAAGGCCTTGCTAAGGAAACAGCAGGAATTTGTAAAGGAGATGAAACATCAACGTATTAGTAAGCATTGGATGAAGGAAGAAAAAAATGTTTCAAGGCATGTACTTCGCTACTAACAATTGGGACTAGAAATAGACAACCGTTTAAAAGAAATATTAAAAAAAAGAAAGGGTTTGAAGTTAAGAGGTGAAGTTATGCTTAGGATTAATTATTTAGTTATTATGTTAATGTTATTAATTAATAAAGAATGTAAGTGTATTTCTAACATTAAGATTAGTTAAAATATTCTACAATATTCGTTTCCATTCAGTTTAGAACCGTGCAATTTCAATATAGTGGAAACTAATACAGCGTTGAGTCCTATGCACATTAAAACCAAAAAATTTTGCAAAGACCTACTTACAAGGAAATTATAAACAAAAAGGTTTAAAATCTGGTATCAATTATAAACAAGCAATTCATTGATTTAAAATATAAGTATATCTACTGTAATACCCTTCCCTTAATGTAAGTTAATCATTGTTTTTTTTCAATAAAAGGCAAAATTTCGATAGCGTAATATACCGACAGGTTTATAACACATCATTTTACAACAACTTTATTGACCATGTATACATACAGTTTAATATGCCAATGTAAATAACAATCGTGATTTTTAAAAAGCTTACCTTTCATCTTTTTGTTGAGGAGGGCAGCAACAAAATTTTACATCCACTCCATTTTCTACACACACGGTACACAAACGCATATGGTTATTACCTATGACTACCCGAACCTATTATCTATGACCCGAAATGTTCTCCTTTTTTCTGGTTTTGGTTTTTTTGGTACGTTCTGATACCTTTAGCTCGGCAAATTTCGTTCTTCATCGATTCACCCGAAAATGACATATGAAGTACAGCTTTTGATTGGCTGTTTTTCAAATTGACTGTGGGTGGTTTCAGTGTTTTAATTTTAATAAAAGTTACTTTTAGTTATGCAACCAATTTTACCTTTACGTGAATGCTGATGTATAGAATTCAGGAGCTATTTCTTGCCTTTGATAATTGTTAATCGTAAGAAGGGAAAATAAACAATTAAATAAAAAAACCTTCATGAAAATCATACTATTATAGATAAAACGCAAGGTAGGTAAAATTATGGCACAATTACAAGTTTTAAATTTTTTTTTACCTGTGAAACTGAACAAAATAAAAGTTTAAGGACCCATGCTTTTTGTTTGGGTGTTCTCTAGTTTGTGAATAAAAGTCAAATAGAATTAGCTAAAAAAATAGCTTTATTGTGTGTGTGCTTAAAGGGGAACTTAATAAAAACGCAGAAGAAATTACTTTACAGTTTCTCGTCATACTATCTACAAAAATTTAAATTTTTACAGAAAGAAAGAAAATAAAGTTCAGTCTTAGTTCTGACAATATGACAGGGATGTTTCGTGTAAAATGAATGAGACTCAAGTAGTAAGGGGTTGAGAATTTCTAGTTATATAACTCCCACAATATAAACTAATGTTTTTATAATTAATGAAGTTTGTCTATGTTTACTTAACGTCCCCTATTGAAATGACTGCAATAAAACATAAATAAAATTACTTACAAAATTTTTATTGTACTTTTATAAATTGCAAATATGAATCGAACAGTTAAAAAAGTGTTCTACGCTAGACATACGGAAAAAACACGAATTATTTACTAAAACGATGAAATTTACTGGGTACTTTACAAATATAATTTTTATATTAACATCTAATCTTACAGTCTATGGGCATAAATTATAAAAAAAAATATTAACTACAGTAATTACAGGCAGTCCGTTATGTTTTTATTTGTTAATTATTTTATGACCTATAAATAAGCTCTGATGTTTCAATCGAAAACTACTAAGGTAGTATTTAATAGCCGACGATCGAAACGACGTTGACCTGAGAAAATTGGGAGGGACAACTTTACAGGAAGTAATCAGCTTGGGGCTTTTTCGACGGTATTCCTCGAGTCTCTTGAGGGGCAGCTTCGAATATTGTAAAGTCCCGTTGAAGATGTTCATTCAGTTCTAATATTGCTGCTACGTTTCCACACCTTACAAAAGAAAAGCAAATAATTAACCAGTTGCCTATAGTACTACTTCCTAAATAATTTTTTATGAATAAAAGCACATTTTAAACATACAGCAAGGCTTCTTCTGCAATCTCCACTAAACCATAGTGTGCATTTTTTATTAAAAATACGTTGCAGTTTCTGAGTAATTTCTGTAATTCTACAGGTAATTTTAGTTGGTAAAAGGGCTCTACCTTAACACGGCTGTAAATTATTAAAAGAGTTTGAAATGGTTCATCTAAATAGGGACATCAGTCTGCTTGATGATCTTACTTCAGTGAACCATGATCAATACATTTTTAATGTCAAATATGTAATCATTTTCATATTAGTCTTAGTATAGTTTCTATTCAGTCTTAATTTTGTTTATATTAGTTACATCTTAGTTTATTTTGCGCAAAACTATGTACAGACATCTTGTATGTCTCTATAGGAGGCGAAGTTTAAATAAATAAATAATTATTGTGGAATCAATTGATGTTACAGCTTAGAATGTAAGCATTGGAAATATTTTCATTAATCATTACTCTCTTTCTTACTAAAGGTAAACAGGAAATACCTGCATTGCTTACTCTAAGAAAATATTACTTATTACAAAAAGTTACATACTATTTAAAAATTAGCGTAAACTGACATTTACCTATAACAGTAATTAGGTGCTGACCATACTGTTAGAACAGTCTCATTAAAGTGCCATTTGTAGCCTTCCATAACCAGTTGGTGGGCACGACAGATCATATCGATGTCATTAGCTGCATTAAATTGAGCAACTACATCTGATCCAAATAGATAACCAGCGCCCCTTGGGGAAACCCCCCAACCTTGGGTATCTATGAGAAATTTAACCTTTTAGTAAATTAATTAATTATATAATTTGAAGTTTAATTTTTTAAATTTACATATAACTAGTATTATAATTTAGCATTAAGGTATCCTGGCTGCACAGTTATATTGCATTCCTTCAGATTCAATCTACTCTGTATTGTTACTATGATAATGTATGTATTAAAAATAAATCATATACTAATAAAATAATATGTGAGATTAAGGATTCTGTGATTTGGCATGAGTGATATGATGTTGTATTGTCATGTAATTTGCAACATGAAAATAAATAAATAAATATTAACCTTCTGGGTCACTCCACAATAAATCGCACATGGGTCCATCGTGAGGAACTTCTTGTTTACGATCAATGGTTCTAATTTGATCTAACGTTTGAATAGATGGTGAAAGACCACCATGAACACAAAATATTTTTCCATCAATAATTGCAGAAAGGGACAAGTAATCAAATATTTCAGTACAGTATCTCCAAACAGTTATTGACCCATATTTTCTTAAACATTCATCATAGAAACCATATACTTGAGTAATTTGTCTAGATTCATGATTGCCTCGAATTAAAGTTATACGATCTGGATATCGAACCTATTTACAATATGTGTACAATTAGTGAATAAGAATTAATTGCTTATGCAAGGACTTACTTTTAATGCAAGTAGTAGAAGAAACGTCTCAACACTATAAAATCCACGATCAACAAAATCCCCCATAAATAAATAATTGGTTTCAGGTACATCTCCTCCGACTTTGAATAACTCCTTTAGATCGTAAAATTGGCCATGAATGTCTCCACAAACCTTGAAATCAATTCATAATGTAAGTAAAAAGGTAAAATTGTAGTCAAATAACCACTATTACCGTTACTGGTGAATCCACCCTTTGCACATTACTTTCTTCTACTAAAATTTCTCTTGCCTTTGCACAAAGGGCTTTAACTTCTGCTTCTTTAATAATTTCGCATCTTTTTAACTGTTCTATTTGGCGATCTAAGTCACTTGTATCTGACATCCTGAATTAAATCTACAACTAATAATATATGACAAGTCCTTAAAAATGCATAAAAACATCTAAAATATGTTAATAATTCCAATTTAAATATCATAATTGCAATATTTAGCTTGTTAGTTGATTACAAATTTAGGTTAGGATTACCTAGACTGTAAGAATCGTGGTAAAAATACTGCAGGTTATAGATATCGGAAAGCTGTAAATTTTGTTATAACTAAATACCTGTAAATCTCTTCTTTTTGAATTGCACAATCGATTTATTACTTATTATTTTGTAATAATCCGTTAAAATTATTTACCACTGTTTAATTGTAACACTAGCATCACAAAAATTGTGTAAATTAGTACCCTATTATTGTAGACAACATTGACTACAATCTTTCTCTTTTAATATATCATATGATGAATCACGTATGTCGTAGCTGAAGCTGCCTTGCGACACTTACTCACTGTTTGGGACTGGTCACATTTCCTTCGTTTTGTTTGTGTTTCCACAGAAATTTAAAAGACCCAAACGACGCTATACTCGATACTGACATTTAATATCACAATGAAAACTAGTTTTCGGAAATCTGCATTGCTCTAATATTAATGTGCATCTTTTTTATACTATAAAAATAAACGCATGCGCCCGTCTTGATTATCAAATGGTTCTAGCATGGCCGGTCTTGCAGAGAGTTAAAGGGCTGTTCTGAGTGTTTTAGTTTTTTTTGGGACGTGTTTTGATCGTTTTTTAATCCGTCGAAGTAGTTTTGTGCGGTGTGAATAATCTTAGCGATGGGTAACATACACACGGTTGGACCTAACGAGGCTTTGATTGTTTCAGGTAAAATATTTTTTATTATTTACTTACATACATATATTAATACAAGTTGTGGTTGTTCCTGGAAAGAGAATATTATAGTAATAGGTACTACATCTATGTATTTAATAATTATTATTTTAAATCGACTAAATGTTTTATGTGCAATTATTTAATAAAAAAATGTACCGCCAAATTTTGGGCAATTGGTACAAACAAAAAAAAAACTACTATGCTACTAACATCGAATGTACCTACACATGAGTTGCATTGCCTACTGATTACTGTTTATTCTTGTTTTCATAATACAAATTTTAAAACGATGTAGTCATTACAACAGGAGCATATACTACTGCGCGGCTATTAATTTTCATTAATTAAAATCGTTTAATAATACTTTTATATACATATGTATCTCTAGAGCGTCACAAATAACATAAAATATAAATATGCACCTAGGTACTTGCACGAAGGAATATTATTGAAATGTCACGTGTTATTCATGCATATCTGAAATATTCTATCTATTTTAGTGCAGTTAACGAATTTGATTAATAAATGTTAGGATTTATCACCGAGGAATTATGCGATGTACCTACTTTTTATAATTTGTCCTTGGATTTTAACAAATACCCGCACTGTCTATAAGATGCAACAAATGTTTGCAGTGTTTTGCATCACCTACGTTAACCACGCGTTTAATTTATTTCTGTAGTTGATCAAAGTATATTTGATCCAATCAAAGTTGCCTCACTCGAACCTCTTAAATGCAACCAATTATACTCGAGTTAGAGAAAATTTGAGTTAAGGAAAATTTTTGATTTACCGTAATTTTTTTTTTAATATATGTATTTGTTTTGAAGACATCCTTTTATGTACTTATATTACTATCATTAAGTTAACCGTAAATATCCCTTACAATCTCAGATCATGATGACCAACAACAATAGAATAATGACTTCGCTTATGTTGTCTTTTCCTACCGTAAGCTTATGATCCCATTCTAACCACTTTTTTGCTGTTTTCCGTAATATGATGCGGCTGATTTTTTAGAAGAAAATTAATAGAAATTCAAATGAGAGAAACAACTTATAATCTGAAACGTAAGGTTGATAAAAATCGTGATTTAAAAAAAATCAAAAATCGAAGATTAAAAAAAATCGATTTTTTAAAATTTTTAGTAAATGTAATTTTGGTTACTTTTTAATTTAGTTTCATCGACGACCACATAAAACGAATTTTTTTATCCCTCGGGAATAGTACTTTTTTTTGATAAAAGGTACCCTTTGTCCTTTTCTGTACCCCTGAAAATAAGGGTACAAAATTTCATGATAAGTTTAAGCCACAGCTTTGCTCGCATTGATGTCCTAAATACGTGTCGAAAACCATTGACGACCACATAAAACTAATTTTCTCTATCCTTTGTGAATAGTGTATCTTTCTGGATGAAAAGTACGAAAACCTTTTCTGTACCCCTGAAAATGTGTACAGGAAATTTCACTATAGGTTTTACCCGCAGTTTCACTCTCGTTGATGTCCTAAATACGTGTTAGAGATCATCGACGACGACATAAAACTAATTTTTTTTTTCTCTTGAGAACAGTAGGTTTCGTCTGGATAAAAGGCACCCTATGTCCTTTTCGGTACCCTTGACAATGTGTGTACAAAATTTGATGATCATCGATTGAGTAGTTAAGGCGTGAAATGGTAGCAAACAAACAAATACAAAAAACTCACATTCACATTTATAATATTAGTTAGAATTTCCCATTTTCTAACAAATCTAACTATTTATAGTGTACTACTACTAACTCGTACATTCAGATATAAAAGACAGACTTGAGTATTACAGTTCAACAGTATTTAGTTTTTCTTTAGGTTCTCTTTGGTGTATTAAATTGTTTTTAAAAGTTTTGTTTTTGTAAAATGAAATTAACACCTATTACAGGCGATATAACATAATATTAAGCTAGAAATATTTTCTATAGCGAAATCGCCTTCTGTTTCCAACAATGTTTCAATAATATATTTACGTAAGCAACCGTATCACTTATCGCTGATGACGTATTGCTTTAGTGTGAATTTCGGTTAATTGTAAGCAATGTATCATAATGGTGCGTAGGCATTTACGGCCGAAATTCGTAAAATTCTTCCATGTTTTACAGGGTTGTGTTTATTTCTTCTGTATCTATGTATTTATAGTGAGTAAATGTCATTGTCAACTTCTTCTATTAAAACAATGTTTCGTGTTTTAATAACGTCAATGGAATTCGCGAGGAGAAAAAAAAAGCTTTTGGATGTTAAGGAGACGTCTCTCTAGGTATACTCGTATGCATTTAGGTGTTTCATTCCCACCAGCTACTAACGCTGGCGGGCGGACAGTCCTTACGGCTTACCTCGGAAGGTAGGGCAGTAGGTCCTCTTCAGTCTTCTTTCAGGAATCGTGGAAATAGGTCGATGGTGAGGAGACGTTTGTCTGGGTATACCTGTATGTATTTGGGTGTTTCATTTTCACCAACTACTAACGCTGGTGGGCGGACAGTTCCTCCGATCTACCCCGGAAGGTAGGACAGTAGGCCCTCTTTAGTCTCGTTCCAGGAATCGTGGAAATGCTTGGATGGTAAGGAGACGTCTGTCTAGGTATACTNCTTCCATGTTTTACAGGGTTGTGTTTATTTCTTCTGTACCTATGTATTTATAGTGAGTAAATGTCATTGTCTTCTATTAAAAGAATGTTTCGTGTTTTAATAACGTAAATGGAACTCGTGAGGAGAAAAAAACTTTTGGATGTTTCATTCCCACTAGCTACTAACGCTGGTGGGCGGACAGTCCCTCCTACCTACCCCGGAAGGTAGGACAGTAGGTCCTCTTTAGTCTCGTTCCAGCAATCCTGGAAATGGTTGGATGGTAAGGAGACGTCTGTCTAGGTATACTCGTATGTATTTAGGTCTTTCATTCCCACCAGCTACTAACGCTGGTGGGCGGACTATCCCTACGGCTTACCCCGGAAGGTAGGGCGGTAGGCTCTTTTCAGTTTCTTTTCTGGAATTGTGGAAATGGGTGGACGATGAGAATACGTCTGTCTAGGTATACCTGTATGTATTTGGCTGTTCCATTCCCACTAGCTACTAACGCTGGTGGGCTGGCATTCCCTCCGAACCACCTTGGAAGATCGGACGGTAGACTCTCTTTAGTCTCCTTTCAGGAATCGCGGAAATGGATGGATGGTGAGGAGACGTCTGTCTAGGTATACCTGAACGTATTTGGGTGTTTGATTCCCAGTATCTACTAACGCTGGTGATCGGGCATTCCCTCCGGACGACCCCCGAAGATAGGGCGGTAGACTCTCTTTAGTCTCCTTTTAGGAATCATGGAAATGGGTGGATGGGGAGGAGACGTCTGTGTAGGTATACCTGTATACATTTGGGTGTTATGTAAGACTCGAACGAAGGTATAATAGGAACCGTATGTCCTCGGGAAAGAGTATTTAGTTATACATAAAAAATAAAATTGTTTTTTATTTAGNAGCTACTAACGCTGGTGGGCGGACAGTTCCTCCGACCTACCCCGGAAGGTAGGACAGTAGGCCCTCTTTAGTCTCGTTCCAGGAATCGTGGAAATGCTTGGATGGTAAGGAGACGTTTGTCTAGGTATACTCGTAGGTATTTAGGTGTTTCATTTCCACCAGCTACTAACGCTGGTGGGCGGATAGTTGCTACGGCTTACCCCGGCCCTCTTCAGTTTCTTTTCTGGAATCGTGGAAATGGGTGGATGGTGAGGAGACGTCTGTTTAGGTAAACCTGTATGCATTAGGATGTTCCAATCCCACTACCTGCTAACGCTGGTGGGCGGGCATTCCCTCCGCACCACCCTGGAAGATAGGGCGGTACACTCTCTTTAGTTTCCTTTCAGGAATCGCGGAAATGGCTGGATAGTGAGGATACGTCTGTCTAGGTAAACCTGTATGCTTTTGGGTGTTTTATTCCCACCAGCTACTAACGCTGGTGGGCGGACAGTCCCTCCGACCTACCCCGGAAGGTAGGGCAGTAGGCCCTCTTCAGTTTCTTTTTTTGGGATCGTGGAAATGGGTGGACGGTGAGGATACGTCTGTCTAGGTATACCTGTATCTATTTGGGTGTTTGATTCCTATCAGTTACTGACGCTGGTAGACAGGTAGTCCCTCCGGCCTACCCCAGAAAGTAGTGCAGTAGGCCCTCTTCAGTGGAATCGTGGAAATGGGTGGATAGTGAGGAGACGTCTGCCTAGGTAAATCTGTATGCATTTGGGTATTTCATTACCACCAGCTACTAACGCTGGTGGACGGCAGGAAAGTAGAGCGGTAGACTCTCTTTAGTCTCCTTTTAGGAATCGTGGAAATGGGTGGAAGGGGAGGAGACGTCTGTGTAGGTATACCTGTATACATTTGGGTGTTAAGTAAGGCTCGAACGAAGGTATAATAGGAACCGTATGTCCTCGGGAAAGAGTATTTAGTTATACATAAAAAATAAAATTGTTTTTTATTTAGATATTTTATTCGGTATTAAAGTACACATTAATCTCACATTCACTGTTACTGAAGTGTAATACATGTTTTATTAGGGTTAAAAGATAAGCTATACCTTTTCGTTGGGCGAATTAAAAATCGCCTTTATAAATTTATAACTATCTACTGCATGCTCTGTGTAATAGTATTTGTAACTCTAATACACGTGCATTGTATAGTATCTATGTAAGTACCTGAAAATCCCATAAAAATTGGTTTTGCGTCATATGCAACTAGATCTTGGAAAATTTTTTGTATGTACATATTTTATCCCAAATCCGCTACGTTATATTTACAGCCAATCGTGTTTAATAATATCAGCGGCTTTCTCGCCAATCATGATGGCTGCGGCATTAGTGTGCCCAGAAATGCTAACAGGTATCACACTTGCGTCCGCTACACGTAGTTTATGGATCCCGTGCACTTTGAGTTTGTTGTCAACAACGGCGTCTTTGTCGTGTTTCGGTCCCATTCTACAGGTGCCGGTCGTGTGTCTAAGACTGACCGATAAATGCCGTATTGCGCATTTCCAATAATTTTCCGACCCGAACTCTAGAGCTTCACAACCGGGTATAGGGTGTTCGTTCAAATGTGCGCCATATTTTTGGAACGCGTGTGTTTTAGGAATCTCTAAAGCTTTTTTGACGCCTGCCAGCATGGTTTCGAGATCGTGGTTGTCGGGGTCGGTTAGTTGACGGGCGTCCAATAGAGGGGGGTGGAAGGGATTTTTGGATTTCAATTTAAGAGTTCCGGTGGATTTTGGATGCGTCAACATTACTTCTATGGAAAATGTTTCTTTGTCTTCTAGAGGCCTCCAAAGGCCGTCGTATATCTCTTTTTTGACTCGGATGTTTCTCGCCTTTTCTTCTCCGATTTTACGAGACTTTGGAGAAAAGATTATTTCAATATCGGGATAATCCTCTGGGTCTTTTGAAACTTCAGTTCTGATATATCCTAACCCTTCAGCCCTAATTGAAGCTAGCGGTCCTTTCCCTTCTTTTAACCATTGTACAAGATCTTCGTGAGGATCGGTGGGTTTGTCTTTCTCCTTGTTAAGGATAAAATCCATACCGATGAATGAAATGTGGTCTTTAAGATGTTTTCCGACTGGTAGGTCGGCTACAACGGGTATTTCCAGGTGCTCTAAATCTTCTTTAGGTCCAATTCCTGACAGCATCAGCAGTTGTGGTGAGTTGTACGCACCTGCTGATAGAATAACTTCCTTCTCAGCTTTAGCTACATACAGTTTACCGTCATGGATATATTTGACCCCACTAGCTTCTTTGGTGTGGGGATTAATGAGTATTTCGACGACTTGGCTAAGGGGTTTGATGTTCAAATTGTGGCGTTTTTTGGCTGGTTGGAGATAAGCTTGAGCAACGCTATTTCTTTTGCCGTGTTTTGTGGTTACCTGGGTAATTCCGAAGCCCATCTATGAAATAAGAAAGTAAAGTAAGTATCAGAAATTATGGAAAAGTAGTTTCTTTTTACCTGATCGGCTCCATTGTAGTCGACGGTTTTTATCCCAAGTTCCTTTCCTGCTTCGAGAAAATCTTCAGCATATTCTGAGAGGTGCTGAGGTACTTCCACATGCACTGGACCTCCTTGATGGTGATATTTACGATCAAAGTGAGGCAAGTCGATGTTTTCCATTTTTTTGAAATATGGTAGCACATCGTCATAGCACCATCCTAAGTTTCCATTATCGGCCCAAAGATCGTAGTCCCTTTTGTTGCCTCTGGTGTACATCATCGAATTAATGGCTGTTGAACCTCCCAAAGCTTTACCTGTTGCACATGCGCATTTGTTTTCTTCCATACCTTAAAACAAAACCATTAATTCACACATTTGCTAATTAGGAAGAATTCGTTTCTATAAACCTACCTAAACAAAATGATTCTTGGGGTGTCGTAGTGTAACCCCAGTTGTAAGGAGTGTTCTGCAAGTGATAAGCCATTCCTGGAATTTGAGTGTAAGGTGTTTCGGGAGCTCCTGCTTCCAAAAGCAGGATTTTCCATTCTGGGATTTCGGAGAGTCGAGCAGCTACAACTCCTCCAGCTGATCCAGATCCAATTACAATGAAATCATAATTTTCTGCTTCTAAAAAGTAAAGACATTCTAATTGTAATTGCCATAACATTCTAATCTTGTTAGTGAATACAAAATATTTAGTTTTCCAGAAAATTCTGTTTTCTTAAACAAAAACGTATATTTACTAGTATACTATAAAACTAATCATTTTACGTAGGAAATTGAAATTAAACTTTGAGTTTTTGTTTACCTGTAAGTGCTTCGGATACGTTGTGATGATCAGGATCGTAGTGAATGTCTTCATGATGAAAATGGTGTTCTTGAGCGATATGTTTCAGTTCTTCCATTCCTTTTTCAAATTCGGCTACATAATTATCAGTTAATTCGAAAGGCGATGCATGAACCGTGGAAATTGCCAAAAGGAATCCCACCAGTGTAGTTGGAAAGGTTTTCATAATGTTAATCTGAAATGAATGTTCTCTAAGTATCTGTTTGTCGGAATAAAGATGTTTTCACATAGGTATATGAGTTTTCTGTGAGTACTATTCAAGGAAACATACAGAATTAAGAGAAACGGGTAATTTCATTAGAAACGGTTATTCTCTGTAAATCTTTTGGTTGTAAATTACACCTTCAAGTTTAATTATCCGGATTGCAATTGTAGTACAATAAAAGTTCCTTATTCACGGTTTCCTTATTCGCGTTTTCATTATTCGCGGGTGAAAAAATTCATTATTCGCGGATGCAATTGGTAAACGGAAAAGGATTCAGTGTCATTTATTAAAAGGATTGACCTGAATAGACCGCTCGTGTCTAGTATTAATTTTTCCGAAAACATCGGTTTCTATTCTAGACATTGTGATTTAACGTTGCCAGATAAATATGTGATTTTTTGTATGGTAACCGACAAAGGTTCACACTAACTCGGTACGTTTTTGGTTTTCGATAATATGGTCATTAAAAGCTTTTTACAAGTGCTTAAAGTTGATGCTTCTCGTAGGACATGTATTTTTAATAGAAATTAAAAAAATTGAAAAATGGTCTTCGACAGGCTTCAGAACAATGCTTTATCTATCTTACTGCAAAATTTCAAATCTCTGTTCCAAACATTAAACTCATGATATCTAGAACCGATAAGCGTGTTTTTACTCTACGGCGCGTGTAGTGTTCGTACATGGCGAGGCAGCTTTTATAAAAGATATAACCGAGTAAACAGAAAAGGATTCGGTGTTATTGTTCATCGTATCGGCTTGTGCCGAGGGGACTTTTATAAAAATGTAACCGAGTAGACTAATTTCAAAATTCAAAACAAGAAAAGATCACTTAATTTTTTAAACTCTTTCCTACAGCTAATTATAACGATTAGTTTTGATTGCGAATTTATCAATACATTGATTTTATTTTGATACATATCGGTTTTATTTTGGAACCTTAGAACGTATCCCCTATGATTCCATA